AGAGCGGGTGGTTTATCCTACGTTTGGGAATGGGGTGAGGGGAGCTAAGGGATTTGAACAATAAGAGAATTTAGTTTTCAAATCAAATCATGAGCAGTGGATTAAGTTCTTGTGAGCAGTGCCCTTGCTGTTGGCATTCAGACTAGGAGCCGCCCTGGACATCACATAAGCTGAGGTTTAGAGTAAAGCTGCCGTGGGGTCGACGGATGTGCAGAGGCTGGGAGTTGGAGTGGCTTTCTTCTCAGAGTTGTTTCAGAGCAATGAGAACTGCTCACGTATGATAGGCACCCTCTTGTACTCAAGTCTTTGGGGAATACAGTGAGTGACACTTTTAATTAACAAATCCGCTGGGAACAAAACTCCTTTAAAAGCGTTGGCTGGGTGTGGAGTTTGAAGGGTGGACTGCGGAGACTCCCACGGTCCTGGGGGAGTTCTGGGGCTTGAAGCCGCGGCTGAGTTGTGCATCTTTGGGGTCGGATCTATCGGAATGAGGGCCAGAGTGTTCCCCCAGAAAGCCCTCACCTCTGTCCCAGGGGATGGAGGCTGGCCAGCCGTGGTGGCAGTCCTCAGGCAAGCTGGGGTCCTCTACCACTTTGGGTGCGGGCCTTTCTGCTCTCCCCAGATTTGGGAATCCCAGCCCACTTGTTCAGAATGGGAGGGCAGGGTGGGGGACTGGCATTTGGGAATGCATCAATCGGGTTCCTGTATAGTTCCGACCACTGACAGATAGCCGAGTGTCTGTACACAGCAGCGTCCTTAAATGTCTTCCATTGTACGGTGCATGTCACTGCGTCTCACCGGGCCTGCACTCACGCTGCTTCTAGTACAGTATCAATATCCATGGTGCCAGAGGTTCTAAGAAAGGCTCACGAAAGAGAGAAGGATGCTTCCCCTCCTGCTACCACAGTGGAAAGTATTTCTGTAGGACGCGCCTACCTTGGGAAAACATGTTTTAGTAGTAAGAGTCCTGAAGGAGTAGTTAGTCGAAGGGTTTCTTAACTCATTACTTTGCTAAAGGGAGCTTAATTTTGAAATCCTCATCAATTATTTCCTCACTTGGAAGGCCTGTGACAGACCCCCCTGAGGCTGGCTGTGAGTCTTCACAAGACCAAAAGTTGACAAAGGATTTTATGCAAGCTTTGAACAGAATTACAGTTATTAAACTTGAAGGTGTAACTAAGACCGTTGTTTCTTCCTTTAGGCTTAGGTAATTGACTTTCATCTCTGTAGTTCAGCCCCCTACCCACCCCCCGCCCCGTTTGTGTTTTTCTTAACAAAATCGTCTCGGTTTTTAATTTTTATTCCTCCCAGTTTATTTTTGATTATTTTTTAAAGACCACTGATGGCTCCTATAGTATGAAACTCAACAGTTAAACTTAATTTTGCCTCCTTTATGGAAGCTGACTTTTTTTTTTTTTAATCATACTCTTTTTAAAGGTCTTCTTGGGAAAACATCCAAGTTTTCACTCAAGGCAATGAATGAGCTCCCCATGGCAATAACTTCCAGTCTGGGATGAAGAAGTCTGAAGAATTTTAGCAGTGGCAGTATTCAGATGTGAGGGAACAGAAGCAAAATAAAAGATAAATACAACTCCAGTGCGGGAGATTGCACTGATTTAGGATTTAGCCTCATGATACTAATAGTGGCTTCCTAAGCTAAGGATTCAAAGGAAGCCATTGTCATTCAAAAGCAAGGTGTGTTTGAAAGGAGCAATCTCTCTCCTTTTCACGTGGATCCAGAAAGGTCTATAGTGTGTGGGGTTGACATTGCCCTTTGGTTTGGGAGAAACAACCTAGTTACAAGGCTTGGAACAAAGGACTGACATTCAGCCTCTGCTATAAAACTTCGTTGTCCTTGATAAATACAGAAAGATCTCTGATACACTTCATAGAACAAGAATTGTGGCACCAAATGAATATGCTTATCTTTAAAAGAAAAATGTAATAAACTCTCAAAAAAGAGTTTATGGAGTGGCACAGGGTCTTTAAGGCACCAGAAGTGACTTAAGATGTGGTCTGGAGGGAGGCAGACAAAGCTAGATGTCCCATCCATCTTTTGTTTTTTTTTTTTTTCTTTTTGGTTGCACCGCGAGGCATGTGGGATCTCAGTTCCCTGACCAGGGATCGAACCCGTGACCCCTGCGGTGGAAGCGCAGAGTCGTAACCACTGGACCACCAGGGAAGTCCCCCATCCATCTTTCTACGGACACATTGGAAACTCTGGGTAGAAGCTGATGTCATGCTCGTGTCTCTGAGATTAAGTTGTAATAGCAAACCCTGGAAGTTGTATATGACCAAAAGTCTAATCACGTCTCCTGCCTCAGAAACCTTTATGCCTCAGCATCCGGGTTTCTCCATAATCTGGCACTTCCTACACTTATTTCCTGCTACCCTGTTCTCCAGCTACACAGTTGGTGCCTTGCATGGTAGAACATAAACTTCTTGAGGGTTTATGTATTACCTATGTGGACCTCACAGTGTCTTACCCTTTGAAAGAGCTCAGCAATGTGATGTTTATGAGTTTGGTTTCAAGGGCCCTGTCTTTGGCTGAGGACAGGTGGAGGCATCCTCATTATGTCAATTATATGAGCTGGGAGAGTGTGGGAGGGCTGGCGGGCAGGAGCGCAAGGTCTGGCTTTGGAAGAGGAGTTTGCACTGTGGTATCCCAGTGCTTGGCTGGCAGTGAGCACAGGGCGTTGGACAACGTAGGCTCCTTGGACCGTGGGGAGGAACGCTGGGGCTTGTCCCTCCCTGGTAAGGCAGAAAATCCTTAAGAGGGTGTTTGCACATAGGGGCAGCTGGTCAGCTACGTCATGGACTTATGTTCAGAGAGTCCCCTGCAAAATCCCCAACGTGGCCCAACTTGGATGGAGGGTAAGTGGGCAAGCCTGGCCTTGGCTGAAAACAAACAATGTGTCAACCTCGTGTAAGCGGATCCTAAGGGAGGAAGAGCCAGCATCATTTAACTGTTGTGTTGTTACTGGTGATGATGACATTGATAACGCTAACAATGAAAGAGATCATTGTTTTCCTTCTTTTAGTCACATAGAAAAAATCACCACATGGCAAGACCCTAGGAAGGCGATGAATCAGCCCCTGAATCATATGAACCTCCACCCAGCTGCCACTTCCACACCAGCGCCCCAGAGGTCCATGGCCGTGTCTCAGCCGAATCTCGGTAAGCTTTGACCAGAGCTGGATAAACAAGCATTCAGCCGAGGGCCTCTAGAGCTCAGAAGCAGCTCTGGTTGCCTCCGCGCCTACTCACGCACCCAGATAGTACCTTCTCCTCCCACTTGGCTGCATTACCGTCTCACTGCCCTTGCCTTGGCCTCTTGGCTACACAGTTTTTCTTGGCCTCTTGGCTACACAGTTCGTGACACTGCTACCAGGGTTTACACTACAGCTCCAGCATCCCCTCCCGTTGTATTTATTGAAGTTCTTTGAAAACTCACTTAGGCCTCCCGTCTTCATCCAGACCAAGGCAAGAAGGGCACTTAGCCCCTTTCTGTGAATTTGGTCCCTGAAGACTGCCAAAGTGTACAGTTCTGGCCTCAAATCTCTTTGCTCAGCCCCGCCCCCCAACAATGTGTGATTAACACCAGACTAGGTGTCTTCTTGCCTCATCTCATTCAATCCTCACAACAACCCTACAAGAAGTGACAGTATTCCCATTTTATAGATGCAGAAACTTTCCCAAGTCCGAGCTCGTGGGCTAGTAGAGCCAGAGTTGGAACTGAGGTTGGGGAATGCATTCAACCCTTACATAATCTGCGGGTGGCTCCTCCCCACACCTGCCCTAGGATAGGACGGCTCACATTTCAGTTCATTTTGAATAAGTGTGATTTTAAACTTGAGATTAGTTTCTGCTAATTGCCTTTACTTCAGAAGAAATACAATTCTGCCCACTGGAGAGAATCAGATGTGAATGAATACACTCCTGCAGCAGAACCGATCAGCTTTTGTTAGTCATTCTCTCCCACCCCCAAAGGCTAAAAATAAGAGGGCCAATTTTGAAGTTTTTAATAAAAGATGGTGCCGTTTTCAGGTAATGTTTCCATTTAAGATCGGATATCCAGATACTGCTTTATACACAGAACAGAATTTTAGAGAATGAAAAGAATCTCCTGTTGGATTTTCAGGAATGAACAGGATAAAAATGGAAGCAGTTTCCTGGATACCCTTCCTTTATAACTGTGGCTTAGCCATGGTGAGTATGGACTCAAGGAGACCTGAGTCAGTATATTCAAGTAAATATATTGTCCCTTCTTCCAGGAAGTCTGGATCTACCATTTTAAAGCTTGCAGATGTAAAATATATACAAAAAGCAAACGACTCAGACCAACCTCTGTTGTGTTTCGTATCTAAAGGGTAGATCAAGGAAAATGGTGCCACTGCTTCTATGAGCAGTGGTGAACCAAAGCTACCCGTGAATCACTTGTCCCCAGTATATAAGAGCTCAAGTAGAAAGCAGATGCGAGTGTAGCAAGGAAACCACAAATTAGGTAGCATTAGACTAGTTTCTTTAGCCATTTAATTTTTATTAATTTATTTAATTTGTAGGTAGCATTAGACTAGGGTTTCTTTAGCCATTTAATTTTTATTAAAAGTTCTAAAAGCTGATTATTAAATTATTGTTAACTTTATAATCGATTATAATTGGAAAGGATCTTTCATGGACCTGGTTAAAAAAATTCAAACACGTTTTTCAAAGGGGTGTTCAAAAAGTAAGTCTTCCTCTGATACTCATGCCTCAGTCCCTTGTATGTTGCCTGGAGTCAATCAGTATTTCCAGTTATGTGTATGTTTCTTCACATAAATTGCTAGCACGTTATACCCACTGTTCTGCACTTTGCCTTTATTTGTTTTTTGCTCATAATATATTATTTATTTATTTATTTATTTATTTATTTATTAGCATCTTTATTGGAGTATAATTGCTTTACAATGTTGTTTTAGTTTCTGCTGTATAACAAAGTGAATCAGCTATATGTATACATATATCCCCATATGCCCTCCCTCTTGTGTCTCCCTCCCATCCTGCACCTTGCTTTTTTTCTACTTCTATATCCGTATACACAAAACTGCCTCATTTTTTTTTAATTGCTCAGTAGTCCAACATGTTGATATGCTATAATTATTTAACTAGCCTCCATCTGATGGGTATTTGGGTTTAGTGTGTTGTTAGTGCACCCAGTATTGGAGTGAAGATCCTTGTTTGTGATCCTTTCCTTAATTTTATAAAATTGCACAGCGAGTAGGAAGTGGACTAAATTAGAAGGACTTTGAACGCTAAAAGCTTAATACTGAAGGCACGTGTGAGTCTACCCTCCCCCTATCCCCCCACGCACTAAAAGCCCAATTGCTGGTAACGTTTATCTAAAGAAATTGTAATCTGAATGTCTGAAACAAGTTTACCTGTGGCTGAATAAAATACCTTTTTCCAGATTTCTAATAAATCGGGGCAGTAGGTTTCTCAAGACACACATTCTGGGGTTTTTCCAATAATATTTGAATATTTGCCCATTACAAAATGCGTTGCTAGCCTCTCGAGAATCACAGATGTGTCCCAAGTTTGGAAATATAACAGGGAATGCAAAGTAAGCTCCAAAGACTGGGGGTAATTTAGAGAGTCACAATATGGTCCTAATAATAAACGATTTACTCAGAGTATTTTATTTTAAGCTATAGCTCTGCCTGTAGTTTATACTCTTTATTATCAGCCTTTAAAAATAGAAAGAGCAGATCTTTCTACTTTTTTTTTTGAGGTTTAGTATGTGGTATTTTATTTTCATTATTTTAGAACTAATAGGTGTACATCTGTGTTTACATATATTATACCTACGTCATACATTAGCATATATATGTAAACATATAAAGTCAATATTTGGAATGTGATTCAAAACTTCTATGTCGGTTTTACATCAACTGCATTTTTTTTCTTTTTACCTTTTAACCAGAGAAGATCCTTCTCGTCTTCCTACTTCTTCTTAAATCTAGAATTTTGGTCTTTTCAATGGCATACATCTGACAAATAAGTGAACTTAGGTGATGTGTCCCCTTCACTGATAGATATTTATGTACAAGTGAAAATGATGTCAAAATGCAATGAACATTACTGTCAGGTGATAGAATTAGTAATAAGCTAATTTTATGTATTTCTGGAACTATGATATAATCAGTGACATAGCAAAACACATTCAGCAATATATCTCCTTCTATTGTGATTCCGTGTTTTTCTCTGTGTTAGTGATGGACTTGGGAGTCGGACTGTCAGACTTTGAATCTCAGCTCTGCCTATTGGTGACTCTGTTAAGTCACTTAATTGTGCCTCAGTTTCTCCATATGTAAAATGAGGATTATATTTATAGTGTGAGGAGGTTGTATGAGTTTATAAGTAAAGTGCATAGATCCATGCCTGGCACGTAATGAAATGTTATGTCATCATTGTTCTTTGTGGAAAGAAAAGTTTTATGTTTTACTTAACTATAGAATGTTAGATTTGAAGACAATTTCATTGTTCATCTTTTTTTTTTTTTTTTGCTCTTACTTCTTCTAGGTGCTTGTTAAACGTTTCTTGTATTTTCTCCATTCTATCAGCGGCCATGGCTCACGGGCCCAGCCGCTCCGCGGCATGTGGGATCCTCCCGAAACGGGGCACGAACCCGCGTCTCCTGCATCGGCAGGTGGACTCTCAAGCACTGCGCCACCAGGGAAGCCCTCATTGTTCATCTTAAAAGCTCTCAAAAAAATATTTATTTTAGGCTGGTTAGTGTGCAAAGCACTTTAAATTAGGAACTCTGTATTTTTTACTTTCAGTGAGGATAGCGCCCCCTGGTGGAAATGTTTCAGTCCTCCCGGTCCCCCGCCCCCACCCCCCCACCCCAACGAGAAACTTCTTGTCAGTGGATATCTTATATTTTCAGTAGCTCTATTCCTGAAATGTGGGTTGTAAGGCAACCCATATTTTAATTGGGAGAGAAGAGATCCATCACTCGAAGGCACCCTGGAGTGAGTGACTTTGTGAAAGTCATTTTGTGAGTGACTTTGTGAGCATACTTTTGTCAGGCTGCCTCAGAATCCGGTGAAAAGGCATCTGTCTCTTGGTAGGACGGCAGATTGGCTGTTTATCTAAACTCACTCTCTTTTCAAATGCTGAAGTAAAACGAAACAGACTCTCAAGGGGTATTTGAAATAGCTCTCTCCAGCTTGGTCTAATTTTTTTATGGTTTTTTTTTTGTTTGTTTGTTTGTTTTGCGGTACGCGGGCCTCTCACTGTCGTGGCCTCTCCCGTTGCGGAGCACAGGCTCCGGACGCGCAGGCTCAGCGGCCATGGCTCACGGGCCCAGCCGCTCCGCGGCATGTGGGATCTTCCCGGATTGGGGCACGAACCCGCGTTCCCTGCATCGGCAGGCGGACTCTCAACCACCACGCCACCAGGGAAGCCCCCAGCTGGGTCTAATTTTTAACTGAAATTTTTGTTTTTGTATTTACCAAATCAGGTTGTCTGTCAGGTTTTATCCAATTTGATTCTGTGAGCAGATTGGTCCCCTTTGTGTCTGAGTCTCCGGAGATAACCCAGTGAATGGAAGAAGAAAGGAAGGTTTTGGAGAACTTTAGATAGCGAAGAGGAGAGATTACCACTGGGTGGAGGCTGTATCACTTGGGAGCTGACAACTTGTTTGAAATCCTCACTGTTATGTAACACAGTGAAGGGGGAAAACTACCATATGTGTGAAAGTTGATTTTTTTTCATGACACAAACCAGGTGGGATCTCATATCTTTTAAATGGGTTGTTGGTATGATTAATTACTTTTAATAGCCACTAAATTTTATTGAAGGAGGGGAAAACAGGAAACAGGAAAAAAAAAAAAGGACTCTACACAGGCCATATTATAATATATAAAACAATGGGCTCGGGGCAAATGGAACCTGCTAAGGAAACCAGTTAGGTTGTTAGGGTGGTAATGCGGGTGGTGTGGAAGGCAGGGACCTGTTTGTATAGTGGTTAATGGGAAGACCTGGAGTCAGAACTGAGTTTCTCTTGGGTTAGACATTTACTAGTTTCGTTTGTTATCTAACCTGGGTTTCATTTTCCTTATCTGTAATATGGTGATAATGATAGTCTCTTCCCCATAAAAGTTTTGAGTATTTAGGTATTCCATGCCTTGGTAGCT